TTCAGCTATTATTTTGCTGCTATTAGCCATCATTTAGCTACTTTCAGCTATTATTTTGCTACTATTATCAATCATTTAGCTACTTTCAGCTACAATTTTGCTGCTATTAGCCATCATTTAGCTACTTTCAGCTATTATTTTGCTACTATTATCCATCATTTAGCTACCTTCAGCTATTATTTTGCCAATATTAGCATAATTTAGCTATCTTCAGCAATTATGTTGCTGCTATTAGCCATCATTTAGCTACTTTCAGCTATTATTTTGCTACTATTAGCCATCATTTATCCACTTTCAGCTATTATTTTGCTGCTATTAGCCATCATTTAACTACTTTCAGCTATAATTTTGCTACTATTAGCTATCATTTAGCTACTTTCAGCTATTATTTTGCTACTATTGGCCATCATTTAGCTACTTTCAGCTATTATTTTGCTACTGTTAGCCATCATTTAGCTACTTTCAGCTATAAGTTTGCTACTTTTAGCCATCGTTGTGTAACTTTTAGCCACTATTTTGCCACTTTTAGTTGTAGCATTGTTTGGCTACCATTAACCATCATTTAGCTACTTTCATCCAATAATTAGCTACTTTTAGCCATTGTTTTGCAACTTTTAGCTACTATACTGTCACTTTTAGTTGTAGCCATTGTTTTTTAAATTATTTTCTAAATTTTAGCTTTTAGCTAATTGAGCAAATATTGGCACTTGGGTCTGGTTTTGCAAATTTAAACTTTCAGACGGTGTTTTGCCCATTTTCCTTTTGGTCTGTTTTTTTATTATTATTATTATTATTTTATTATTCGGCTTCCTTAATAATAAATTTCAGCAGAAACTGCAGATTCTCCAGTTTTTATCAGAATCAGATTTATTGGCCAATTATGTTGACACACACAAGGAATTTGTTTTCGGCTGTTCGTGTCTCTCTAGTATTAACACTATACAGATACTTTACATATAATTAACACATAGTACACAACATACAGAAAGACACACATTATACTTCACTATACCAGGATGTATCTGTGTGATGTGCTTTACCGCGCAGATATATAGATAGATAAAATACATCTTAAGAAAGATGTGTTTTCTTACCCAGTTTTAGCGATTGCATCCTCAAGAAAAAACTGGTCAACAGGGAAGGTACGACCTTAAGATAAAAATAAATAACACGTTAGAAATGAGGCACTGGATTTCTGTAATTTGCAGGTTTGATGCAGATTAACGGGATTACCTGGTATGTGGACAGACGGACAGTTATAGAAAAACTCAGAGAAGAGGTTGGCATTAAGAGTGGCGCTCATCAGAATAACCTTCAGGTCTGATCTTTGTGCGATCAAGTCCTTCAGCACCAACAGCAGGAAGTCACTGAACGTAGGTCGTTTAGAGAAAACGGTCAAAATACATGAAAACTCAGCTCAGAATAAATGATGAGCAGATCGCACACACCTCTCCTCTGTTCGCTCGTGCACCTCGTCCACGATGACGTGTGTGACGCCTCTGAGGTCCGGCTCGCCCTCCAGCCTCCTCAGCAGCACTCCGGTGGTGCAGTACAGCAGTCTGGTGGCCGACGACTAACAAAGAGATGAATTTACTGAGAAAATTAAAGCTGTGCAACTATTTACACCAATCAGGAATGACAGGACCCCGCCCATCCCTGCGTGGGACGTAACCGTACCCTGACGCTCTCCAGGCGGATCTGGTAGCCCACAGAGTTCCCCAGGCTCTCGGCTCGCTCCTGCGCGACTCTCTGAGCCACAGAAATGGCAGAAATGCGGCGAGGCTGGGTGCAGAGGATGTTGGCCACCTGCTCCGCCGCGCCGCTCAGCGAGGCGTCCAGAATGAATTGAGGAATCTGAGTCGTCTTACCGCACCTACGAGAAGGAAAAATTCAATCCTCAAGTTTTATTTCTGTTGATGAATGATGAGCTTAAAAAGGTGAAAAACGGGCCTTTTTAGAAGTAGAGAAATTAAATGAAGCTTTCAAACAACTGATGACACCTGAGTCGCTAAAATAAAAAAAAAAAAAAGAGTAGCTAAGAGTAGGAAACTAGATGCTATGGCTAACATTAGCAAAGCTGTCACCAAAATTAACAAAACGTGTTAACATCAGCAAGACTTAAGCTTAAAATATAAAAAAACATGTTCAAGTTAAAATGAGCCAAACAGTAACTAAAACTAGCAAAAAGAAATGAACAACCTAAAAGAAACAAAACGATGAAGCTAAAACGATCGAAATTGTAGCTAAAATCTAACAGAATCAAAACAGATGCTAAAGCTAAAAACATTAAAACTGTAGCTAAAATCTAACAGAATCAAAACAGATGCTAAAGCTAAAAACATTAAAACTGTAGCTAAAATCTAAAAGAAGCAAAACAGATGCTAAAGCTAAAAACATTAAAACTGTAGCTAAAATCTAAAAGCAAAACAGATGCTAAAGCTAAAAACATTAAAACTAGCTAAAATCTAAAAGAAGCAAAACAGATGCTAAAGCTAAAAACATTAAAACTGTAGCTAAAATCTTAAAGAAGCAAAACAGGTGCTAAAGCTAAAATGAGCAAAATTATAGCTAACATCCAAAAATAAGTAAAATGGGAGCTAAATTCTAAAAGTGTCAAAAAGATGCTAAATACTAACGGTACGTTCACACCGAACGCGTTTTGAGCAGCAGGAGCGGCCGATTTACATGCAAAGTCTATGAGGACACGCCTCTAGGGGTCGTGTGTCACATACGTTTTGGGCGGCGCGCAAGGAAGGGAGTGACGAAACTAACCGAACAAATCGCCTCTTAATCATCTGGTGAGTTAATTATCTGCTGTGCACAACGTTTGCTTGCTTTTTAGTAAATAAATTAAAGCCATTTTCTTTTATTTTCTCTTTATTTCACCTGCCGAGGACACGTTCCTCCCACACCTCGCTGCTGCCGCTTGTTCTGTCTGAACACTAGTGCGTTCTTCGGTCTGAAAATAGTGCGTCCAACGAGAGACGTTTTGCGCCTTTTGGCCGCTCAAAACGCGTTCGGTGTGAACGTAGCATAAAAGTGACAGAACAAGAACAGAAAGTTAWAAGTAAGCCAATGATAGCTTAAAGCTGAGTAAGAAGACTAAAATAGGGAAATGTCTTTTTTAAAAGAATTTAAGAGAGCTTAATAGTGAACTAATTTTAAATACAGTTAAAGCGTTTGCACAATAAGGTTTTAAACTCATTAAAACTCCGTCCTGCACCCACCCAGTCATCCCGCTGATCACCAGCACCTGGCAATGCTCCAACACATCCAGAATATGCTCTTTTTCCTGCCAAGCCGGGAGGTTCTTCCTCTGCTCCAGCATGGACCTGAAGCGTCTGGATGACTGGGTTGTTAAAAAAAAGACAACATTATAACAAAATATCTGCGTTTGACAGAMTGTGATAAAAACATATATAAAATGTTGATTTTACTTGTTTTTTCTGGAATTCTCTGCAAAGCTTTTTGTTCTCCTGTAAAACGCTGTCCAGTTTCTGACTGTGTTTGTCCGCCATGCTCTTCTTCAGGTTGACGTAGCTTTCGCTCTCAACCGGGACAGCTCGGACCTCCAMGTCCTCGTCCCGCTCGTCCAGCTTCTCCGTCTCTTCCACTTTAAGGACAAACGTAAAGAGAGCTTCGAACCGGATCAAACACAACTACAGATATAGTAAAAGTCAGACAAGCCTGCGTGTKGATGACTCACGCTCTGTGGGTGTGTGGTTGGAGAGCGGAGCGGTCCTCCTGCTGTTCGTGGAATTACTCCTGCTGTCCACGCTCCTGCTCTTCGCCGCGGCGGGCCGAGGCTGCGGAGGTCCCACTACAGGTGGCGGTGAGCTGTATTTGTGGTGGCTGACAGCCAGCAGCTCCTTCATACGGAGCTCGTCCTCACATAAGGTTATGAGAGTGTAAACGACGGGCTCGCAGCACCTGGCTGCAGCCAGAGCCTCCTCGAATAACTTCTCCGTGACGCAGAGTCTCCCCGCGGCCCCGACACACTCGTCGTTGGTGCTGAAGGCGACGATCGGCGCCTGGTGGGGGTAACGGTTTCCTCTGRGGAAGCGAACCTCCAGCTCATACTCAGGAGGGGAATAGCTGCTGAAGCYCGGTTGGCTCGGGCCCTTCGGGTCTGCGGGACCAGCCCCCGACCTCCCTTTTCCTGGGAGTTCGTGTCTGAACTTGCATTTGTCTCCGAAGCGGCACCCCTGATCTTTTAAATAAAATCTGCAGACTCCCCGAACGTGCGCGGCTCCCCCTCCGTTTCTGGCCTCTCCGATGCTCTTGGGAGCCTTTTCGGACAGGAACGGGAGATCCAGGGACACGGCCCACACCGAGTTGGGGATACGCTCCTTAAAGCGGTCGCCGTAAATAGCATCGAGGGCCACGGCTTCCTCCTGCCTCAGGTTTAAACACTCGTCCATCGGGACGCCCTGGAGGTCAACGGGGGAGACGGTTTTCTGTCCGAAACGTTCGCTGTAAACCTGGAGGAGAAGCTGCTCCAAGGTCGCACCGAACTCTCCTCCTCCAAGCTCCAGCGCCTGTTTGCTGCGCTCTCTGTCAAATCCATACCTTAACAGAGGGAAACGTACAGAATGAACAGAATTTAAGACACTATGAATGCTTAAAACTACAACTTTAAAGGAGACCAATGTGGGTCGTATGTCTGTGGGCTATACAGACCGTGTTCAATCAATTTAAAGCACAAAATAATTCTCAGATAATAAAATTTCCCATTTTCTAGTTCTGCCTGCTCTGACTTCCGTTCAGAAGAGCTGTTTATGTTAATGAGCTCTGTTGGTAACGCCCT